AAAGCAGTAGCAATCTGGGAAGCAGGTCTTTGTTTCCTTCTTCAGAAATCTCCCATCAGCACTTACACCAGTAGCAGGGGCCTCCAAGGCACTTCAAGGGGCCCTCCCATGTTCTTCTGCCTGTGGGAGGGCCCAGGAGGTGCTTTTAGGCTCCATGTTGTCAGGAGTTTAGAGTGTATCTCAGACAGGCAGTTGATAGCAAGTGGCTACAGCAAGGGTCAGAACTTCCATGGCCTTGAGAGAGAAAAGGAAGGAAAGGGGGCACAGGGGAGGACTGTCCTTAGAACTGAGGATTTCCTGGGGATGGGTACAATGAGATCAGAAGATGGGTGGATTTGTTGGAATTTGATTAACTATGTTTTAATTAACTAGCATTTTTCTCCTTACCCTTCACTTTTAGGAGAATCTCAAAAAAATATTCCAGGATTTATCTGGAAGTGAAAACCATGTAATTGCTAGAATCTATATCTAACTATTTACCTATTACCTATATTTACCTGTTATAGCATCCATATCCATGAAAATTCACAATTCGTGGGTTTTAGATCCTGAAATAATACAAGATCCTATATCATCAATATTAGTAGATTGGGGAGACAAGAAAATATACTGATGTGTTTTTGAAACATTTTCACCAAGGATATAATTATATATTCTTCTTTCATTTTCACCAAGGATATAATTAAAAATTCTTCTTTTTAAATTATGACTAAAATTTAAATCTATTAAGATGATTGAAAAAATGGAACACTGAATACCCAAGTTCTAACATGGATATGTCAATTGTTAACATATTATCATATATATTTTTTAAATTCTTACCCGAGGATATTTTTCCATTTATCTTCAGATATAGTGTGAGGGAGGGAAGGAAGGAGGATGAAACAGAGGGAGAGGAAGGAATGGAGGAAGGAATGGGGGAGAGAGATAGAGTGGGAGGGAGAGAAAGAGAGAGAGAAAGAGCATGTGCAAGAGAGAGAGAAACATTGATGTGAGAGAGACACATTGATTGTTTGCCTCCCACACAACCCCAACCAGGGCCAGGGATCGAAGCACAACTGAGGTATGTGCCCTTGACCGGAATCAAACCCGCAATTCCTTGGTCTGCGGGCTGACACTCTAACCACTGAACAAAACCAGCCAGGGCACATTTTATCATATATTTTTTGCTCATTTTCACACTGTCTTGCTCTCTCTCAACCATTTCAGAATACTTCATAGTACATTGCAGATGTCATGACTTTCTACACCTTAAATACTTTTTAGCATGTATCTTGTAGGAATCCAGTATCATACTACACGATCATAGTACCTTTATTGCACCTGGGAAAAAGAAGTATGAATTTTACACACACACACACACACATACACACACACGATCCAGGATTCAAAGTTTACTTTGGTTGTCACATCTCTTTAATCTCTTTTAGTCTAGAATAATCCTTACCCCGCTCCCTGCCCTCCTTTTTGTCTCTTCCAATATTGAGGGTTTTTTTCTCTTAAGTTTCCAGGACAATTGTCTTGCAGAATGTCCCACAATTTGAATTTTTCTGATTTGTTTTTCTCATGTCTAGAGATAGATAATTACTTTTGCAAACAAAACAAAACACCCTGTAAAAGTGATATCAAACATTTCTTGTTGCATCTTATCATGTGATGCATATTGCCAGGCTGACCTTTATTAGTGATGCTAAATTTGATCACTTTAGAACCCAGGTGTCTCCACTGTAACATTACCATTTCCCTTTGTAACTAAAAAGTAATCTTAGAGTGATCCTGTGATATCATATGAATAGCCAGATTCCCAACAACCTTTATCCACTGGTAAATCATCCACTGATGACCCCTGCTTGAAACAGTTATTACACTAGGAGTGGAAAATGGTGATTTTTCTAATTCTGTCATTCCTTTCATGTTTATATGATGACATTTATCTGTAAAGAAGAGCTTTCAGGGTTTTTTTAAATTTATATACTAATGAAGTGAGGAATCTTTCCATTGTCTCAGTAATCAGTTCAAGGAAAGGTTTACTTCATATTTGTGGCACTTGGGGCTGTGTCTCTGCAGGATCTCAGCAGACATCTTGGGTATTATCATTGGGAAGGCAAAAGGTAGGAGACAGCTGCCACATTTTTAGTTGAGGAAAATGTGATGCTAGAGAGATGTGGCTGGAATTAGTACTTTATAGAACCTTCACTTTCCAGTTTGGTAGCCTCTAGCAACATGTGGCTATTTAAATTTAATTTTTAATTAATTAAAACTAAATAAAATTTAAAATGCAGTTTCTTTGTCATCTTAGCCACATATCTGATGCTCGATGGCCACGTGTGGCAAGTGGCTACCACATTGGACAGCATAGATCTAGAACACTGTCATCATTGCAGAAAATTCTGTTGGACAGTGTAGATCTAGAATCACTCTTAAGTTTCCCCAAACAAAATGTCAAACGTCCCAAGTTTGGGTTGAGATTAGGGTGACCTTAATTTCGTGACTTTATCAAACTATTCCATTGTTTCATGCTTTATTGTTTTGATTCTGGCCTGGCCACATGGGCCCATGGTGACTAGATGAGTTCCACTAACATTGCCAGGATTTGAGTGAAAGTAGTCTAAACCTAGTCTTTATAAGCAATTCTTGTTAAACAGAATTTATTTTAATTCTTGTTCAACAATCTTTTTTTCTCCTAGTAGAGATTAGTTAAAAGAATAGATGGGGCTAAATTTTATTTGGCTGCTTTTGTTGTATTTGACTTTATTTTCTTCATTACAATACAGACACACTTTAGCCTTTTCTCCTACCCATAGGCTTCCTATTTCACCTAGGCTTACGAAGTCCATTGGTTTTATGTCTACTAGCATGAAAGCCACGCACAAAGGCTAATACACCTGTTTCAAAATTCATGGTACAGAAAGGAGAGATTATTAGTGCCAGATCTGAACTGCCATACTTTTGGACATACTGTACTTCATGCCCTTTGGATGACATAATATTGTTGCTGCTGCCCTACAATAGCTGCTCTGTGGTTAGGCTGAGGGCTGTCTGGTCACCTGGTGTTCCAGTGTGCTGTCTGGGAGACACTGGTGTAACTGGCACTCTACCTCTCTAAGTCTGCACCCGGAGCCCATCTGAGTCAATTAGTCTGTCATGAAGTTACTTTATACTGCTATAGAATCCACAGAACAAGGCCTAATACTGGATTCCTAGATGTTAATTTTACAAATGCTGACAAAACCGTCATATAGAGGAGTTTTTTTCTGTGTAGTATACATTAAGAAACTCAGAACAGGTGAGGGTTCAGGATCAACAGCTAGAAAATCAATTTGTGACCTCTCCTTTGGTACGTTAGACACTCTGGGTGAACTGATGCTCTGTCCTGGGACCTGTAAATTAGGTGGATTTCATGTTAAAAAAAATCTCTGTGAAGTTTGTTGCTTAAAAATCCCTGGATAATGTCCAGTTGTGAGGACAAGTATTTAGCCCTCACAAACTCCTGCCTAGAAGCAGCTTATAGACAGACAGTAAAGTCCATTTACTACAAAGTTTCCATCAAATGTCAGGCCCATTGGGAGGAATTCTGGCACTAGGTACACTATGGGTTTTAACTAAGTGCTCAGAACAGTGCCTGGCATAGCAAGCACTTAATAAATATTTGCTGGATACATGAATTCATCTTGTGGGTTTAAGCTTTGCCTTCAGCAAAATATTGGGTAACTGTTCCCTTTCCTTCTGTATCCCCCACATGTCCAGGGGCATGCACCTTGGGTTAGTGCTTGACAAGCCTGGAATAAGAAAGTAAAGGTTGGTTTTGAAGGTAGGGAGCATCTGTTGTTTTCTATTCCCCTTTTACATTAGTATCTTTTCTGAAGAAATATCCTGGACAGCACAGGTTGGGAAGAGGGAAGGAGAGGAGGAAAAGCAAGGCATGCACACACAAGGCTTTGTGCGTTTGCTAGCCTGCTCATTGGGGTCAGCATCCTGGTACTGGACTGCAGATAACACCTCTGGTCACGTCCATTCAGCACCTCTCTTCAAGCTCAAATTAGACCTGCTGAAAGTTGTGTTCTGTTTACCTTTTCTAATACAATATGTTCTTTGTGATACTAGAGGGAGTGAGGGAAGATAGAGAACTTTCCTGGCATCTTTGTTTTCTCCATCATTGCTCCATGTTATCCATGTCATCTTTGTCAGAATCAGGAAGGCACAGGGATAAAGCATTAACAGATGTATAGGACAACAATTGGCATGTTACTAAGCCAAGAAAGTGCTTTATGGAATTTGTTATAAGTGGATTTTGCCACTTTGCTTTTGCTTTCTGTCTTCAGTTGTTGATCTCAGATGTGTGAATTCTGAGGTCATCTCTGCCACTGGAGGATGTGGTGGCAACAGGATAAAAAGTTAGAGATATGCATACTGAAGTATTTAGAGGAAGTGTACTAATGCCTGCAACTTTATTTGAATTCATCCGAAAAATAAGATGGGTGATAGAAAGATGGATACAGATATAATAAAGAAAGTACAGCAAAATGTTAATGGTAGAATCTAGGTGGTGGGTATATGGGTGTTCACTATAAATTCTTTCAACACTTCCTTGGATATATGAAAAGTTTCATAACAAAAGGTTAGGGAAATAAAACGGGGGAGGGCAGAAGTGAGAAGCAGTGGAGAGGAAAAGGCCTGGTGCAGTGGGACCCACATTTTTATAACGGACAGTCTGGTACAGGAAGGCAGATCGACAGTTGCCAGTTGGTGCTGTTCCTCAGAGGCCTTGCTCAGGGTTTAAACACATAGGATTTACTGCCCCTCCTACCTCCTGGGATCTGATGTAGTATGTAACCTCTTTCTCTTGACTTTTGCATGACAGTCTTTCTCTTCTTTTAGCTAATCATTCCTTCTGCTTCGGGAAGCTGGTCAGCTTCTTGCCAACTTTCAGCCAGAATGGCTGCCATGGTCCAAGCTAATACTCTGTTTTTCTCCTTGTCTTTCTCTCTGGCAACTTATAGAGTTGGTGTTGACCCAGATCAAGACCCACCACCCAACAATGACAGCTTTCAAGTCTTACAGGGGGTAAGTCACAAGACACGCTTCTTCCCAGGGAAGACATTATTAAAAATAGTTAAAATTTATTTAGCATTTACTACACGCTAAGTACTTTATGTGAATTCCTTCATGATCTTGACAAGAACCTCATGAGGTAGGTACTGTTATCCCATTTTACAGATTAGAAATTGAAGTTTGAGAGTTTCAGATAGTTATATAAGGCCAGATAATTAGAAAGTGATGGAGCCAGGATTTGACCCCAGAGACAGTGTTCATACACAGCATATTAAGGGGATGGGCTGGCCAGAAAGAGTGTTTAAGTCCCTGACTCTCTACCTTCCATGAATGGATGGGTAAATTGGTGATTGGTTCCCTGTAACTGGTTCTGAGTCTCTCAGTGGTGTCCAGGTAGACGAAGGAAAGGGATGTGATTGGAGGCTCTCCTGTTCTTCTAGGGCCTGGGACTGTCTAAGCTCTGTGAGTTTCCCTCTAGCCCAGCAATGGCAGAGCAGCAGCCCTCACCCCTGTATGGGCTGAAGGTCACAGCAAGGCTAACAGTTAAGGCTTGGGCAGGGCAATGGCAGCAGTGAAAGCCTAGAGCAGAGAGGGAGGGAGGGAGGGAGAGAGAGAGAGTTGTGGGGAGGGCTATAGAGGCAGTGAGTGGAAGAGCTCTATGGCAGCATTTTGTGTGAGCGCAGGGAAGAGTGCCTGCAGCAGCAGAAAATCCTGATGACCCTTGGTATGGCCATGTGAACTGGTTACTATTGCTGCATAATAAACTGCCCAAAGCATAGGAGAGTGAACAATTTCTTCTACTTATGGATTGTCTAGGTCAGGGATTTGGAAAGGGCCTATTAGGGATGGCTTACCTTTGCTCCATGAAGAAGGCTGGGGGTAATGCAAGGCTGGGGCTGGAATCATTACAAGGCTGATTTGCTCCTACATCTGGCTCCTGGGTTGGAGGACTCATACAAGGACAGACAACTAGAATGCTGAATTGTGGCTTCTCCATGTGACCCCAGGGCCCTGAACTCCTTATATGATGGCTTATGGTTCCAAAAGGCAGTACCCCAGCAAACAAGGTAGAAGCCACATGGCCTTTTCTCCTGGCTTTGGAAGTTTCACAGCATCACTTCTGTGACTTTATATTGGTTATAGCCAGTTGCTAGGGCCAGCTCAGATTCAAGGGGAGGGGATAGAGACCATAACTTCTGGATGGGGAGAGTATCAGCAAAGTGGTAGATATGTTTTAATACTGCCATATCATCTCTGTTGTGGGACTGGCAGGATGCTTTTGTCTCCAAGTTTTGCTTCTTTCTCAAGCTGGCATTTCCTGGGCAGGCCAAGTGGAGGAAAGGAGACTTATGATAAGAGCATAAATTTGTTTCCAAAATGATATTATTTTCCCTTGACAGTCAAGAACAATTTTGATCAGCATTGAATACCTAGCACTGAGCATAGTGCCTGGCACCTGGGGAGCTCGAGAGGTATTTGAGGGGCAGGTGCTGGCATGAAGCACCAGTGCAGTAGGAAGCTTTACGACCACATGCATGTGTTGTCTGTGAAACCATGTCAAGTGTTTTTTTTTTCCCAGCCAGCTTTTAATTAAACTCATCATTGTACTTCATCCTAAATCCAGTCTACATATTTCAGATTCCATGGGATCTTCTAAATGACTCCATCTACCAAATCACATGTAACAAGTGTTGCAAAATGTGGTGCTGTGTGGGGGTCCGGGGGTGCTTTTCTGATTTCTTTCTCTCTGAGGGTGGTCACAGCCTGATAAGGCATTCTTGGTGTTGATGCCCCTTTAGGGACACAAAGCCATGCCCTCAGAAAGTTCTGGGCATTTTGGGAAGAGCTTTCAATGAGCTACATTGGATATTTGGTACCCACTTCAGTAGCGCTCCAGAAGACCTTTGTGATTATATTAGAATTGGCCATTGTGCCAGTTGGGAACATGTGGTTTCAATGAGAAGTTCTTTTTGAAGAGTTGCTGTTTGACTCTAGCTTTAATTAAGGACTTTAGTAAACGGGGTTCAAGAACTGTGCACTTGGAATTAATTTAGAGTATAACAGTTTGGGAGATTTTGAAATTCACCCCAAGATAACCTGGGTGAAAAGTGTGATGGATGTCTTTATTTCATTGAAAGGAAAATAATGGCCCTAGTAGGATATGACTGCCCTATTCCAAAGTATTCTTCACAGACCTACGGCCAGTCTAGATTTAATTTTATAAGAAAAACAGGCCAATTCCAGCTGGGTAGCCAGGGTTTAGAGAGATCTCATTTAGACAGTTCAGCCCTCTCACTCCTTTTGTTGTTTACCATTACTCTTGCCTTTGGACCCAAGCATCTGTAAAAGGAAATATGGGAAAGCATTTGGTTGGTTTCATGCAGCTGAACTTATTATACATCTCATAGGAACTGCACATTGAGACAGTGGGCTTGTAACCGGACTTAGTAACAAACTTGCTGTCACTTTTCCATGGAAACATTTGAGAAAGCTGTAGGTCCTAAGTGCTAAGGGTTCTTGCAGTGCATTTAGTCCATGCAGTGACAGCTAAGAGTGTTCCCTGCCCCAGATGGGTAAACCTTCCTGGATAGGTAATCTCAGTGACTCAGTGTTCCTGACAGCTTCCTGGAGGGCCCTTTGGACCAATTGTAAAAGGGCACAGCCACTTCCACTGCACTCCCAGTGGTATCCAGTTGGCCAGCCTTACCGAGGACCTGTATCACAGCTTCCCCTTAACTTCCCTACTTCCAAGTCTCATACATAGTCATGCAGAGGTCACCCAAAATCAGTTCTTTTTGTATTTCTTTCTTTTTTTTTTTTTATATATATATATCCTCACCCGAGGACATTTTTTTTTTTTTGATATTTTGTTCAGATAGAGTGGGAGGGAGAGAGAAAGAGAGAGAAACATCGACGTGAAAGGGACACATCGAGTGGTTGCCACCCGCACAACCGAACCAGGGCCGGGGACAAACTGCAACCGAGGTACATGCCCTTAGCGGGAACCGAACCCGGCCTCTCGGGACCGCAGGCCGACGCTCTAACCACTGAGCCAAACCGGCCAGGGCAGTTCTTTTTGTATTTCAAGATTTCTGTCAGACTGGACAAAAAAAAGACGAACTTCAAGTTTGGTTCCCCAGGATACCTTCTTAAATGTGACTCATGCCCTTGTGTAGAAAGGGCCTTATTTGTCTAAATCCTCCTGGCATGACCTTGATACAGTGAGCCACTAATAGCAGCGCTGGGAGTACTCACTGGTCATGAGAAACAGTAAAACTGAGAAATAAATGGGCTTCTCATTTTTGGGTGAAACCCTGGGTTCTTGCAGTTTCCCCTGAAATGAATCCAGATCACATACTCACGTTGTCATGAAACTGAAATCAGAGTTGGCAAAAGTCCAGATGTTTGTTCTCCGTTAGAAAAGAAAGGGCAGTTCTCTTTACCTCATTTTCTAAATGATCTTTCTAAAAACAAACAGAAAAGTGATATTTGATGGGAAAGCATTTTTTTTTAATATAGAACACAATTTTTCTCACTGGTTCTAGAAGCCCAAGGTTATAAACAGAGTCATGGCTATAGGGCTACAGAATATTAGCTCATGTGGGCGAAGGAAAGGAGCTGTTAGCTAGAACTTTCTTGGCTTTATGTGAGGGAAGCATAAGAATATTGTGGACAGACTTCAGCTTCATGTCCCTGGCAAGTTTGACTCATTAAAGCAAAACAAAACAAAAAAAACTCAGTCGCTTTGTTTCCCAGAGGTCTTGGTGACTTTGCAACCAAAACAAAAACAAGCACAGCTGGAGGCAAACTGCCCAGGCTTGGGGGTGGCCTCACACCCCATTCAAGCAGGGACTTTTCATGCCAGACCCAGCTGAGATTTATGTTGGCCAGACAGGCAGACACATCATTCACTTCCTTCCCTAAGTTTACAGAAGAGCACTCATTGATGAGGCTTAACTAGGAGATTGAATCTGAAATTATCCTGGCTTTATCATCTCAGCAGGACAAGGTCAGAAGCTGGATATTAGTGGAATGTGAAGGAAAGAAAACCTCTGTGTTATCAGCTCTCTCTCTCTCTCTCTCTCTCTCCCCCTCTCTGTGCGCGTGCATGTGTACGTGTGCATACACACAACTGTGAAAACTGCAGAAAACTAGCTGTTCATAGTTGCATTGGCATATAACTTTCTAAGCAAGATGGATTTGTTTGTCTCAGGGTTCTCCTCCAGTTTTTCTCCAAGCTGAAGTCTGATACCCAGTCACTTAAATCTTCAAACAGTTGCTGAAATACCTTTCCTCAAATGCTTACTTTCTGACCCCTTCCCACAACACTTTTCTTTTTGTTCTTCTAATTGCCTCCCTTGGGCCCCTGGTTTTCCTTTCTGCTGCTCTTTTTCTCTCTTAAAATTCAAAATTAATACTAGGTTATTCATTCATTTGACAAATATTTATTGAGCATCTGTTATATTCCAGACATTCATTCAGGCTCTCAGAATACATTTGCAAATAGGACAGGTGGATCTTTGTCCTTAAGGATTTGATGACAATGTGATGAAGGGTAAGGGTGGAGAGTGGCAGAGGTGAACTTCTGGAAAGCCTCATTGTTTTTCCTCTAGGGACTCTAGACTACCTTCCACTGCCCCAGTTGTTCCTGTGGACCAGCAGCCTGGGCATGACTAGGGCTTGATAGAAGTGCAGACTTTCAGGCCCCACTCCAACCCACTTAATCAGAATCTTCATTTTCACAGGGCTCCCAGGAAGGTTATGTGCACTTTACAATTTGAGAAGCCCTGGAATAGGCACTGTGGACCTCAATTCCCTGTTTTTATACCCTTTTATTACTCCCTTTTGAGAAATCTTGGCCCCATCATCCCAGGGACATGAAAAAGACCCAAATCTGGTTGCACCATTTATTTACTCTTTTGCTCTGAAATAGTTTTGTATTCCTGCTGTCATAAATTATCATAAATTTAGCAGCTTAAAACAATACAGTCTTACAGTCCAGTAGGTCAGAT